GGGGGGCAGCACAGTGGCGCAGTGGGTAGCACTGTGGCCTTCCAGGTAGAAGGTTGTCGGTTCAAGGCTCGCCGGTGACCTTCCTGGAAGGAGTTTGCATGTTCTCCCTGGGTTTCCTCCGGGTTTCCCCCACAATCCCAAAAACATGCGGTTAGGTTAATTGACTAATCTAAAATACCCCTTAGTTGTGCATGTGTGTGTGTGAATGTTGCCCTGCGATGGACTGGCGAACTGTCCAGGGTGTACCCCCGCATCTCGCCCAATGTGTGCCGGAGATAGGCACCGGCAGACCCCCGTGACCCCGAAAGGGAATAAGCGGGAATGGAAAATGAATGAATGAATGAATGAATGAATAAATTCCTTAATGTCCAAAAACAGTAGTCCACAGTAGATTTTCAGAAAAAGTTCCTTCTTGTTGTTGTTGTTTCCGCACAGTTTCGAACTGGGGACTTTTTGCGTGTTAGGCAAACGTGATGACCACTACACTACAGAAACCTACATTGTTCTCATTTTCATATTTTTTTCAATAATTTTGGATAAAATAACACAAAAGTTAAATTCCTTAATGTCCAAAAACAAAATACCACAGTAGATTTTCAGAAAGAGCTCCTTCATGTTGTTTCCGCCCAGTTTCTAACTGGTGACCTATTGCGTGTTAGACAAACGTGATCACCACTACACTACGGAAACTTACGCATTTGTAATCTTCACATTTTTTTCAAATCATTTTGGATAAAATAATACAAAAGTTAAATTCCTTAATGTCCAAAAACAAAATACCACAGTAGATTTTCAGAAAAAGTTCCTTCTTGCTGTTTCCGCCCAGTTTCGAACTGGGGACCTTTTGCGTGTGAGGCAAATGTGATGACCACTACACTACGGAAGACTACACTGTTCTAATTTTCATATTTTCTTTTATCATTTTGGATAAAATAACACAAAAGTTAAATTCCTTAATGTCCAAAAACAAAATACCACAGTAGATTTTCAGAAAAAGTTCCTTCTTGTTGTTTCTGCCCAGTTTAGAACTGGGGACCTTTTGCGTGTGATGAAAACGTGATGACCACTACACTACGGAAACCTACATTGTACTCATTTTCATATTTTTTTCAATAATTTTGGATAAAATAACACAAAAGTTAAATTCCTTAATGTCCAAAAAGAAAATTCCACGGTAGATTTTAATTAAGAGCTCCTTCAAATTGTTTCCGCCCAGTTTCGAACTGGGGACCTTTTGCGTGTTAGGCAAACGTGATGACCACTACACTACGGAAACTTACGCATTTGTAATTTTCACATTTTTTTCAAATCATTTTGGATAAAATAACTCAAAAGTTAAATTCCTTAATGTCCAAAAACAAAATACCACAGTAGATTTTCAGAAAAAGTTCCTTCTTGCTGTTTCCGCCCAGTTTCGAACTGGGGACCTTTTGCGTGTGAGGCAAACGTGATGACCACTACACTACGGAAACCTACATTGTACTTATTTTCATATTTTTTTCAATAATTTTGGATAAAATAACACAAAAGTTAAATTCATTAATGTTCAAAAACAAAATACCACAGTAGATTTTCAGAAAAAGTTCCTTCTTGTTGTTGTTTCCGCCCAGTTTCGAACTGAGGACTTTTTGCGTGTTAGGCAAACGTGCTAACCACTACAGTAATGAAACTTGCACAGCTGTAATTTTCACATTTTTTTCAAATCATTTTGCATAAAATAACACAAAAAAAATCCTCAATGTCCTAAAACACACAAGAAAAATCAGGTGGATTTTCAGAAAAAGTTTCATCATGTTGTTTCCGCCCAGTTTCGAACTGGGGACCTTTTGCAAACGTGATAACCACTACACTACGGAAACCTACATTGTACTCATTTTCATATTTTTTTCAATAATTTTGGATAAAATAACACAAAAGTTAAATTCCTTAATGTTCAAAAACAAAATACCACAGTAGATTTTCAGAAAAAGTTCCTTCTTGTTGTTTCCGTCTAGTTTCGAACTGGGGACCTTTGGCATATAAACGTGATGACCACTTCTTCTTTTCCTTTCGGCTGTTCCCAGTTTAGGGGTCGCCACAGCGAATCATCCTTTTCCACCTAACTCTGTCCTCAGTATCCTCTACTCTTGCACCAACTACCTTCATGTCCTCTTTCAGCACATCCATATATCTCGTCTTTGGTCTTCCTCTTGACCTCTTGCCTGGCATCTCCATCTCCAACATCCTTCTACCAATATAACCACTATCCCTCCTCTGCACATGTAATAATCTATAATTTAATAATTTAATCTAGCCACAGGGGTTGCAAGCCAGTGACTTCTGTGCCGGTCCCAAGCCCGGATAAATAGAGAGGGTTGCGTCAGGAAGGGCATCCGGCGTAAAAAATGCCAAAAACCAAATATGCGAGTCACCATAAACGTGATGACCACTACACTACGGAAATTTACATAGCTGTGATTTTCACATTTTGTTTGATGATTTTGGATAAAAAAACACAAAAGTTAAATTCCTTAATGTCCAAAAACAAAATACCACAGTGGATTTTCAGAAAAAGTTTCCTTATGTTGTTTCCGACCAGTTTTGAACTGAGGACCTATTGCGTGTTAGGCAAACATGATAGCCACTACACTACGGAAACCTACACTGTTGTAATTTTCACATTTTTTTCTATCATTTTGGATAAAATAACACAAAAGTTAAATTCCTTAATGTCCAAAAAGAAAATTCCACAGTAGATTTTCATTAAGAGCTCCTTCAAATTGTTTCCGCCCAGTTTTGAACTGGGGACCTTTTGCGTGTGAGGCAAACGTGATGACCACTACACTACGGAAACCTACATTGTACTTATTTTCATATTTTTTTCAATAATTTTGGATAAAATAACACAAAAGTTAAATTCCTTAATGTCCAAAAAGAAAATCCCACGGTAGATTTTCA